CCAGAGTACCGTCAAAACTCGGACTTGCCCTTGAGCCCAAGTCCCAAAACCGCAGATTTCAGGCGGCGCACTGCTTGTGGCCGCCTGACAGTTAGCCCGGACCACTTTTCGACGCCCCCGTCTAGCCCTAACCACTTTCGTCAGACGAAATGGACGAGCTTCAGGGTGATCGCCCATAAAGGACGCCCACGTCAGCGTTTAATTGTCTTACGTTTCAGTTTGTTTTGAGTCCTAGGGCTAAGTAGATGTTTTTCGTCTTCCTTTTCCGCCGGGTTTTCGGCCTTGGTAGGATCCTCTTTTTCTTCTGACGTTGACCCGAGAAAGGTCTCGATCCGCTAGTTCGTTTAATGCGCACTCTTCGTCTGGCTCTCTTGAGCACGAATAACCATTTCTTCTCCCTTCCTAATGCCAGCCCTTTGACCTTTCTTCTCTCTACTTTTTTCCTCTTCTTGGAACTTTCGCCTGCCTCGAATCATCTCAAGGGGGTTCCATCCTCCATTTTAGCCTTCCCTTTTCCTTTCAGGCTTGTCAGCGATAAGGTGGGTGGTGACCTGGGCCTAAACAACTTTAACCTAGCACCCGCTACTGGGTCCTTCCACTTGGATCCGTCTAATTTTGGTATCATATATGCTCCCCAGTCGAGTGCCTCAACCACTCTGTAAGGTCTCATCCATCTGTTGGCGAGTTTTCCGGTCCAGGTCCTCTCTAGTGCTGCGTCGTAGAGAAGGACCATATCTCCTACTCTCACCCTCTCTTTCTTAATCCGCACGTTCTTATCCCATCTCTCTTTACCTTTGTCCCTTTCCACTGCCAAACGATCTGCCGCTGTCATAAGGTTATCTTCCAAACCGTAGGCTATCTGTCTTGTTCGGCAGCTATGAGTTCCTCTCTGGACATCTCCTCCGCCCAGTCGACGGTTGTCCAACTGTCGACGTGAAACTCTATGGGGAGCGGACAATGCCGCCCAAACCACAAGGTGTATGGTGGGTATCCAGTGCTAGCTTGGACCGTGATGTTGTCCGCCCATATTGCGTACCGAAAATATCTTGGCCAATCACTGTCCTTACCTTTGCACCACTTGGATAGTGACGCTATCAGAGTCTGGTGCCCCCTCTGTACTGGGGAGTTTGACTGTGGGTGGTAGGCAGTGGCTATCGAAACTTTCGCCCCAGCTCTCTTGAACACACTTTGAACCTCGTCAGCTAGGAATTCTGCCACTCTGTCCATCACTATCTTGCTGACACAGCCATACCTTGATAAGTACTCTAGGACGAAGTTCTTCACTTCCTTTGCCGTCTTACTCCTAATAGGTCTACCATCTACGAACCCCGTGAAGTCGTCTCGTATGTTCACGACATAGTTCATATTGCCTACCCCTTTCGGCATCTTCACCAAATCGATGTGTACCTTCTTTCCTGATCTGGTTGGATAGGAGGCTTGAAGTGGCTCTTTGTATTTCACAAGAGCTCTCTTCTAGCACTCCTCGCAGGTCATACAGTACCTCTCGATGTCCTTATACTGTCCTTCCCACCAGTACAACCTGCGTACCTTTTTGTAGGTCCCTCTGACTCCTCTATGTCCTCCAACCACCCCTTCATGAAGCTCCGCTACTATCGTTTGTCTCTCCTCAGGATCACAGATTACTCGTAAGGGCATCCCCGACCCTACCGACTTTCAGAAAAGGTGGCCCGCTCTAAGGCAGTACTGGGCTGCTTGCCAGATATCCTCTGTACTGTATAATCATATAGTCGAATCCGTATTAACCATCGTGCAATGGTCAGGTATGTCAGCCTAAAGTCCTTCTGGAGGACAGAGGCAACCGCGGTGGGGTCTACTCTCAAGATGAACCATCACCCATAGATATAGTGTCTGAACGTGTCTAGAGACCGCAGAACAGCTAACACTTCCTTCTTGAATTGACTGTAGTTACGCTTAACCGTATTAAGTGTTATACTCTCAAATCTTAACGGTCTTTCCTTCCCTCCAGCGTCCTTCTGAGACAGCAACCCACCAACTGAACAAGGTCCCGCATCCGTGGACACTATGAAAGGTCTCTCGGTCTCATCATCAAAGAATGACACGCCCAGTACGCGTCCTCCCTCCTTAAATTCGTCTTTAAGGTCTTGCATAGCCGTTTCCTGCGAGGAACCCCAGCAGAATTTCTCAGTCTTTCGAAGGAGTAACCTCAATGGCTCAGCCTTCTCCGCATACCCTCGTATGAGTATACGCCAGTATCCGACCACCCCCAAAAACTGTCGGACCTCGGTTGGACTATGTAACGGTGACGGCCGGTCCAGGAGTTTGTCTAGCTTCGCTAGATCTGCTTGGCATTCTCTCGAGTCACAGATAAAGCCCAAGATCTTAATAGTCGAGACGGCCCATCGGCTCTTTGTTCCACTGACCGTCAAATTCGCATCGTCCAGCTGCTCAAGTACCGCTCAAGTATCTGTTAGGTGCTGCTCAACGAATCTTCTAACTCCTGGTACAACCTCTGTCTTATCCTTGTTTACTAGCCCTTTTATAGGAAAGTCATCCAGAAAAACCTCAACCTTATCAGGGAGGAAGTTCTTGAGGACGGCTACCATTGCTCTTTGAAAAACAACTACCCCATTAGTCCACCCCATAGGGACAACCATCATCTGTATCAGTCGTATGCATAGCCGTGAGCTGCCTGTCCCTAGGATCAAGCGGTACCTCATCATAGCCTGATAACAGATCACAGACCGAATAAATTGACCTGCCTGCGGCACCTTCTGCTAGTAAATCGGTGTGTGGCACGGAGCCCACGTCTCGTATCGTCACCGCGTTGACCTTCTGAAGATCCTGGATCCATCGGATCTTGCCATTCGGCTTTCGTAGGAAGAACCATCAATTAGCATAAGCGCTATCAGACGGCTCCGCTACATGGGAAACCATCTTTTCTTTCAGGAAAGCAATAACTTCTTCCTTCTCCTTCTGGTCGTATTTCCATCCTGCGTGATTCCAAGGAACATGTGGAATCGTGTAAATCCTCGCTGGCTTAGCGTATCGAGGGTCAACCCTACCGCGCTCGTCGTCGCTGAAAGCTATTGCCTTATCACATGTCTTCAGAATTTCTATCACACGTTCTCGCTTCTGTGGGGTCAGATTTCCATCTCCGATGTCCATCCCTGCTATCCTCTCTTCCGTTAGGCGTTGTGGCTCCTTTTTCTTTCTTTCTTTGATTTCTTTTGCGATCTTTTCTTCCGATATCCCTTCCAGTGGAGATCGCTCGCGGCCCACTGTCGCTGGCTTAACCTTCTGAGCTACCCGCTTGTGTCGCTTAGGCGGCCCCCCGTAGGGGGCCGTGCCCTTAAAAAAGACACAGATACCACCCCGCCAAATTCCTCATCTGTTTCCTTTGGGTATGAGTTGCCGTCCACTATCAGCCGACCCCCTAAATCTTCCACTTCCACAATCCGACCTTCTTCCTCTGTGAGCAGTGATCCATACTTCTTCTCGAGAAATCGCACCGCGCGGCCAGAGATAGGTAATGACTTAATCTGATCACTAGGTCTTGCACCCACAGCGAGAGCTGCTCTGTTCCTCGGGTCCCGAGGCTCCACTGTCTCAATCGTAACCCGCGTCCCATCTAGCTTCTTAATGGACAATGTCTGGCTCCCGTCCGGTTGCTCTATCGTCACTGCATGCACGTGGCTTAACCACGTTCGTCCCTATAGCAGATTGGAACTGCAGTTCTTGACTGCAAAGACAGGCAGGGTCACTCGTACCCCTTGGACCTCTATGGCTGCCTTGTGACAAACCCCAGTGATCTGTTGCTTTCTCTCATCAGTCGTCTCTATCTTGAATAGGTATGACCTATCGAGGCACAGTCCAACCTGTACCGCCAGATCCTCGTCTATAATGACAGCCTCACTGTCGTTATTGATCACAGCATCGAGTACCGCTCCATCGTTTATGATCGTCTCCACGGCCCCACTACCAAGTATGTAAAACTTGTCTGGAGGTATACCTTCCATCCCATCAAGAAGGACTGTCGCCATGCGATCCGCTCTGGCAGTCACCCCCGTTACTACTAAAGAAGGAGCATTCGCCTTAGGGGCCCCCTGAGCGTCCTCTGATAGAGGTATGCGAGTTTTTCGTGTGATCATCTGTAACTCATCGCGAGCTGGCTTCGATGCCGCCAGGTACTCCAGAATAGAGTATTGCATGGGCTGCCGAAGGGCCCGTCTCAGTGGCTCTACCGTGTCAATCTCATCCAGCGAACTCTTCATCAAGAACTTCTTTACTCCCCGCTTTCGCGGCGAAAGAATAACCTCCTCTCCATCGATCCGCTGCCCGCCATCCTTCTCCGCCATCACGTAATCCGTGTCGGTCTTCTTCGATGTAGATCCTCTCGCGGACTTGGTGGCTGCCACCCTTATGGGTGTGGTCGCCATATCCCCCTCAAAAGTTATCTTGATGCTCTGACTCCTGACCGGTTCCTTTCCTTTACTCGGCTTTACTCTCCTTGCTTCGACATTCTCCTTCATCGAAGGGAACATCGATACCTCTCCCATATCATCTGCCCACTTGACGTACTTGCGGTCGTCAAGCACGACAAGCCCCTCATCTTTTGCCCGTTTGAGGTCCGGGCAATCTCTCTTGATGTGATCATCCCCTCTACAGTAGACGCAAGAGTTCCTAGGGGTGGGTGGCCTGTCGTCCGTGTCTCTGGAGATCGTACCTCTCGCTGCTCTGGGGTCAGGCGACTTGGGATACGGCTCTGATGAGGCGCCATATCTCCCTCTCTCATTCCGACCGCGCGAATCGTTGCGGCAGTCTCCCCCAGATCCTCCTAACTCATATCGTCCCCGTGAATCGTTTCGGCGGTCCCCAGCGTCGTATCGCTCGCGTGTCTCATCACGCCGATCTCCTCGGTTGTACCACCCCCGCGAATTGTCGTGCCGCTCTCTCGCGTATCCCCCGCGGTTATACCGTCCGCGCGAGTCGTCTCGTCGGTCCATGTATCGACCTTCTCTCTCATATCCGCCACCTCCATAGCTATCTCGATCCGTCCTCTCATATCTTTCGTCCCTATATCCATCTCGGTCTGATCTCTCATATCTGCAGTCCCTATATCCGTCTCGTCGACCCTGATCTGACTCCCACCGGCCTCCAGAGTCGCCTCTACCCCGATCGGCCTCATAACGGGGGCTACGCGAGTAATCTTTCAGCCTCCTAGCTCGCCCATACGTCTCGCGAGCTCTGTGGTCCAGGTCTATCTCGTCATCCCTACGTCGCCATGACTCATCGTCTCTCTCCCTTTCCCTCGTACGATAATCAGTAAGCGTGCGAGGATTTCTGTCCTCGACACTCCTCCAGGAATCGGTGTTCCTCCGATCCCAGCGAAGTGAATAGGGACCTCCGGGTTTGTCCCGGTAAGTCGTGGCTCCTGTGCTTGTCACAATCTTTGTAACCTGTCTTGTCAATCCCTTTACCATGTCCCTTATCTCCTTCACTTCCTCGGCCACGGCTTCACTCTTCTCCGACCAAGGGTGGTCCTTGAAATGAGGGCATCTATCTGTGGCATACTGCTTGTAGAGAGAGAAGTCACGTCTCCTCATCCCTCTCCACGCCAAGTCCTTGTAGTCATCTGCCTCTGCCTTTATCGCGAGCTTTAGGACTTCTGGGAAGTCAAGCTTGTCGCGTGGAAGATCTCTAAGTATACTCTTTTGTCTACCTTTGGATAGGTGTCCGATGAAGATAGTACAGCGTTCGACCTCTGAGATCTTCCTCTTCTTCATCAGCACGTCGGAGATCTTCTGGAAGCACATCCCAAAGGCCCGTACGCTCTCATCCTCATCTTGAGTCATCGTTTCAAGGTCCTTGATGGAGTACTTGTTATCCTCCAACTTGTAAAGCTCTACGAGGTTCTTTTTGTATGTAGTCCATTTCCCATCATTGGGTCGGGCTTCCTTAACTTCCTTGCCGAGGCTTGGGTCCACATTAAATAGGAAGTTCTCTATAATCTTTCCTCCGACCACTGACTCCGACTTGCATGAAGCTCCCACTTCTCCAAATATTCAGTGATGCCATAACCCCTAAAAGTAGGTGGCTCAGAGGCCTTGTGCGTAATAATATAGTGGTCCTTGCTCTCGTAAGGGACCGGATGCGACTCCCCTGTCTGAGGGTCGAAGACTCGCCTGGGCGGCGCTCGGTCTCTATCTCTGTCCCTCCAATAGGAATCCCTCGAAATCTTCCGCCAGTCGTCTTTGTGCCTATCCGCCATGGTCTTCCTCCGCTCATACTCGGGGGAGCGTCGTCTCATCGCTTCTCGTCGACTGCTCGAGGTTCCCGTCTTCAGTGCCTCCTGCGGCTCCGTCACGACCGGCTCGCCCATTACGTCGGACTCTCCGTCATTGGTTTGGTCAGCCCATCTCAGCGGTGCGTCCCGCCTAATTCGTTCCTTCAGATCCCTCATAGCTCAGTCGGGCGATGTTCTGTACTCCTCTCCTATCTCGGCCGTGGTCGGTTGTGGCCCCATCGTATCTAGTTCCATAGGCCACCAGAAGACGCAGTCAGACACTCTCGTCGGGTGTTACAGCCCGGACTTATGACAGTTGCTGCAACCCGGATCTGTGGCAGAACTCGCAGCCTGGACCAGTTTCAGAACTCGCAGCCCAGACCAGTTTCCTTGTCACGGTTCACGCTCGTCACCAACCCTAGCTCTCGACTGCCCTGATTACTGCCACCAGTACTCGGTTCCAGTCGCGGATCTCGTTCTCTCCCTCTATCCCAAGAATCCCTGTGTCTAGGTAGACCTTCCCTTCGGGATCGGCCAACAAGGCTGCGCCTCTCTGGATCTGCAGTATACCTGTGACAGGATCTCTACACCTGCGGCAGATCGCAGTCCCTAGCCTAGCCTATGTCTCCTGATTAAAACCCCTCAAGAGCCTCCGAGCGTCTAACTCCGCCCTCCTTGCTAGGTCTCCTAGCCCGTCCTGAATCGGGTAGCGTGCTGAAGGTGGAAGCTCTCCTCCTACTGCCATCCAAAGTCGTCCGCCGACCTTTCTGACCTGTACTTTCTTTCCAAGAGCTTTCAACCTCTATTTCTCCTCCTTCAACTCCCAAACAGCCATGAGATCATCTGTCTAGCACCTGAGGTAAGTCAGTGCTATAGTTACTCGTAACCTCATCGCCGACAGCTCCAAAATATCATAGAATGTCTCAAAGTCCTCCTCATCTCCACCATCTTCTATGACCTCTAAAGTCTTTATCGACTCCTTCCAGTACCGATCGTGAACGGCTAGCACCCTGAGTATGGCACCTTCTGTTACAACTCTCCCTAACTCTCCAGCTTTCCTGGCTTCGCTTATCTTCAACCTCTCAGCCTCTCTGGTCGTCTCGTAACATGCCCTTATCCGCGACCGCCCTTCAAAAGGTGTTACTCGGAGTACGTATTTTATCCTCCGTCCTCCTTCTATTCCAATCCAAAGTCCTGTTCCCTTGGCCTCACGCAGGGCACGGCAGACACACTCTGCCTCCTCAACTATGCACAGTCTGGTATAGAGTTGGAGCTCTACGATCACTAAAACCAATGGTCTGTCCAATCTCCCTACCACATGCAATGAGTACCGGTCCGTCGTGTGTAGTGCAGTCCCGCTCATGTCCTGTCGCTACCTCCCTGCACTACCTCGTCCTCCGTTGTCACACCCTCTACAGACCTCTCACTAGTTTCTTTGCCTGATACGCATCTAGCCTTTACCCTTTCCAGAAAGTCTGATCTCCACGCCTGGATAATCTATCTTTCCTCCCTAAACAGACTCTCCAACTCTCTCGTCATGAGCTCAACCCCACACAACTTGCTCTCATCCTGGCACGACCAGATCTCCCTTAACTTGTTCCCAAACTCCTTTACCTGGTTCAAAAGCGGTTCGCTTTCTCACTCTTCCGACTGCATCACTCTCCTCTTCCATTCTCAGTCTTCATCTTTTTCCAGCTCATCCTCTCACTCTTGCTCTAGCCTCCTCTATCGTCTCGTCATAGAAGTGCTCCGCACGCATAAAGCCATGTGACCATATCATCACCTCATAGGAAATCGAGGTCTGGAAGGTCACCCGCGTCAGTACATCAGCTCTATGCTCGTGGATCAAATCCCTGGCTCGTTGTCTGCACTCGCTCGTTGTCAAGTCCTCATCTATGTATGCTCGGAGTAGTACCGTCATAGTGTACCCGGTGCTCACCAGTTGCTCTCCAACACGCATCACTGTGGCCGCTCTCCCCGACATTCCCTAAGTTGCGGCCTCGAAGAGAAACCTCACATCCTCCAGCCCCATGTAATCGATCTCCGCCCGTCTCATGCAGTACCTAATCAGATCGACTGGGCTCAGACAGTCCACCCAGTTAGTAACGTCTATAATGTCGTCAAGCGTCTCTCTACTGGGCGGTCCCCACCTCACACAAATGGCGTAGTATACTTCCCTGAAGCGGGGCGCTAAGCCCTCCCAGAGCGCGTAAAGTGTGTGGTCCACTGCTCTACTCAAACGTTCCACGCTCCCATAGGTCTGCCCTATCACGAAGGCAAGAAGTCCGAATCGTCAATCGTCTCTCGGGTAGAGGGTCGGATGTGGTGGACCGTATACCAAGCGGCTCTAACGCGTCCTCCCTCCAGAGAGTCTCGCCAGTTGCTGATTAACGATCACTCTGGCCAACGACTCGCTTCTCCACCAACTCCTGCTCGCCCCTGCGAGCGTCAGTTCTATCTCTAAATCGTGTGCTCTATCCGCTATCAGATGTCCGACCCCTTCTAGATCATGAGTCCTCTCGGGTCGTTTGTCTCGTAGTATCACTGTCCAAAGGAAGAGCCCCTCTGCGAGCCACGTTCCCAAGTATCGAATCGGAACACGCCCTGCCCCTTCTAACGCCACAGGAAGTGGAATGTCGTATCCAACCACTGTCTCTCTGGGTCCCACAAGCTTCCTCACACTATACGATTCGGACTCTCGTGAGAGAAGATAGGCTAATCAGGCCACTGAGTCACTCCCCATCTCCTTTCCGACTCTCGGTCAGCATCACTCTACTCCCTCCGATGCACCCTATCTCTCGACGTTGCTAACCCCTCAGACAACTCTCGCACTCAGGTCCAGTATGGTCGAGTAGGTGCTGTGCGCTCTCCTGTCTGCTCCATGGAAGTAGATAGTAAATTGGACGTACCTCTGGCTCCTCCGTATCTCCAGGGCATGTTCCGTCATGAGTCCAATCTGTCGCTCAACAATCTTTAACGCCTCTCCTTCCCAGCCACCCATCCTATCTCGCCGCAGGGAAAGAGTCACCCTCAGCATATCCCGGTCTGCCATACTCTTCACTACTCCCTTCTCTAAACCTCACTCGGATATGTCCTGCCTCTAGTCATCTCATGCATCTGGCATATCCTCATCTGTATCCTCATCTACCCTCTGCCACCATGGGATGTCCTCCTGCCCCTCGGCCTGAAGGAGATGACCCCAACCGTCCTCCTGCGGCGCCTCTTCGCCTACGTGCTCCTGTTGCTCAGACCGCGCCAGATCTCCCCAGTCCACGTCCTGCTCGCCCCAAGGGTCTATGTCATCGAAGTCCTCCCAATCCCGATCCTCGGGGTACCACGCAAGATCGTCAGCCTCTGGATATACCTCCTGGTAATACTCCTCAACCTCCCCGGTCGAGATGAGGTGGCTCGGCCTCTCCTCACGAGTCTCGGCTAGCAGTTGTCCCACACCAGCTAAATGATCAGTTGGCCTCCGGGCTTCTCTCTCTAGCGTCATCCAGAAGGCTAGGGGCTGGTACAGAGAATACAGGTCTGAGCTCCCGGTAGGTACAATTGCCCGCAGAAACTCAATCAATTGAAGCCCTTACTCGCCTACAAGCGGCCCCGCTATAAACTGCGCATACAGTACCCAGTCCCTGTCAGCGTACCCTCGGCAAAGGCCGTTCAAGTCAAGAGCCGCAAAGTAGATCTCACCCAGACGTCTAAGTCCCCAAAGCTCCTCCGCCACGAAGCACGGAAGTGTCACACGCAGTCGACTGCTAGGATATGGGAAGTGTCCTCCAATCCTCAAGGTCCTCGTCACTCTCCGAACACCCCCGTGCAGCCGCTCTACCTCGCCCCGCGCGGAGTTCGCTAGAGCCAGTAAGATCCTCCTCGCGCTCTGCTCCTCTCGCCAATGATTGTGAACAATGCCGTGAAAATAGACTGTAGCTAGCACCTCCCGCGAGTAGTAAATGTGGCCCACTACCTCTATGCTAGTCGTGCCTGGTCATCGCCACCTCTGACTTTCTAGCTCAAACGTCTCGATGACATACGTCCACAAGTGTACGTCTGGGCCCAACACCGTCGATGACCATCGGCTCTCTATCGCATTCGTGGAAACCCCTCTGGCCGGCAGATCCAGCGCCACCTTGCCTGGCGCTATCGTCTCTGGAGGTCTAGGCCATCTAGCGTCGTCGATCCGAAGCTCCACTCCACTGGCCTGCTCTATCATCGATGCGCTCTCCACTATCCGCCGATGTCAGTAGCTAAGCTCACTCAACCATCGTCCCAATGTGCTGCTCTACCTCCTACGCCCGGACTGCTACTCCTATCATGGAAAAATGGGCGTCCGTAACGTCAATTTCCTCGTCGTCAACTTCACTTCCCGGGTCGACCCAGTCTGGCTCCCAGGCATCCTCGTCGTCCTCTCGATCCCAACCTACGTCGTCAAACTCGTCCTCGACGCGGTACGGCGCCTGTCCTATAGCCTGGTAGTACTCCGCCAACTGATGGCCGTATATCAGAGGTCGTTCGGCGTCCTCACTCCACCAGCTCTCCCAGTCGTCTGAGAAGAGCCCCCTGATGCCGGTCACGTACTCGGGGCCTGCTCAGAGCTCACGGTCTAGCCAATCCCAAACGCACGGAGACTGGGGCCACTCGTCGTCTATCGAACGGATCAGCTCTAT